GACATTAATAAAAATGGAAATAATCACTTCATTTATAAACCGGAGCTGCCGGGCAGACGAATAAATTACCTACAAAGATACACGCTCTTCCATTAATTTTTCAACATATTAGCTGAGAGACAGATGGGAATACCCTGTTAATTGCGTTTTTTTTTACTCGCACATATTTTAAAGACATTTGACCTCGAGATATGGTTTGAATATAACGTATGAAATGGTGCCATCAGCAAAAATACTCATTCCAGTCAAGAGATCAACCTACGTGTAAAAGGCAGAGATAGGATTCCAACGTAGAAGTTTCCAATGCACCTTTGCCTTACTAATGGTTTCAATGTAAGACGACTGTGACGTGCAAATAAAGTGACACTGGGGGCAGCAGTAGTGAAGACCGATGTGTTCATTTTTGATGTCATTTTAGTAAGACAACTATTAATAAATTGCTTGTTAAAGGAGTGCATATTTACTATGACTGCGCGCATGGCTGCACGGTTCTTACATGTACGTGTGTGTTTGGTATATTATCAGTAATATAACACTAGTCCTTTACAGGTTGTTATCTAAGCCTTCAAAATGGTGACGGTCAATTTGCGAAAGTTGCGGGATTTGAAAATATTTTAATTGCATTTGAAAATCTGTATGTAGAAGTACTAAACTCAACACATAAATATTACAATATCTTACAAGACTTTCACCTATGTATATTACGCAACTGTGTACAATATAGATCCGTTACAGAATATATTACTTTTGAGTTACTATCTGTATCAGAATTCAAGACATTGCATATCGTACATCCGTTTTAAATTAGCGAAATTAATTTGGATGATTCGGATAGCGTTTACATTTTCTTATGTGAAAAGTTGATATTTCACAGCCCGCCAGTCAGGTTTGTTAGCACATAAAGTGGCCTCAGCTTTTTAAAATAATTGAGCTTCATAATATAATGGTATTCACAGGCTTTGGGTGATGAAGCCTCTTTCAGTGTGCAGATCTTCGACACTACGATCTTAGAAGAGGTTTCGACACTGTGTCCATGGGAACACACCTTCGACACTTCGACCTTGAAAGGGACTTCGACACTTCGACCTTAGATGGGGCTTCGACACTACGATCCTGGGAAGGGGCTTCGAACCTTGGAGAGAGACCAGCGAAGAGGGCCTTTTTAAAACGTTTTTGTGCGTTTTCTATGTTTTGATTACGCACAATCAGGTCAGTTATCTGCTACCGTTAACCATACAAACGGTACTACCTGTTCATGGTCGAGCCATCGGCGACTAAACCGGCAAAACCTTGTCGGGCTTGCCTGGAAAGGGTAAGGGCGCCAGGACGGCCTGAGGGAACTAAATAATCCCTCAAAGATCAGTAGACCCTGCAGATCGACCTAACTCCCTGGGGGTTCACACTAAATAGCTGTCAGCCGAGCGGGCACAAAAGTTAATTACCCCCTTACAGCTTGTAGTAGGCAGGACGGACATTTAAGCCGGCTATCTGACAGTAATCTAGTGAGACTCCCCACGGGGATAGATCGATCTAAAATATATGGGAATTAGACAGAGTGAAAGGTTACTTGTGTAAAATGCTGTTTTTGCACTTTTTTCAGCATATATGCAACACCGGTAACATGATAAGTGGAAAACCGTTTTACCTTTTGGCTTGAAACTTACAGAACTGATGAATATTCATAATATGCAGGTCAAGGTCGAAAATCAGCATAATCGGGCCATTTTTTATCTAAGTTATGCTGTTTTTCACTTTTTTCAGTATATATGCAATACCAATAACACGGTAAGTGGAAAACCGCTTCACATTTTGGCTTAAAACTTTTAGAACTGATGAATATTCATAATATGCAGGTCAAGGTCGAAAATCAGCATGATCGGGCCAATTTTTTTCTAAGATACGCTGTTTTTTTTTTTTTTTCACTTTTTTTCAGCATATATGCAACACCAATAACACGATAAGTGGAAAACCGTTTTTCCTTTTGGATTGAAACTTACAGAACTGATCAATCTTACTAAAATACAGATCGAGTTTGAAAATCATCAATCATTCACTAAGTTCAGAATCTCAGAATGGAGCAAGTTGGAGATTTAAAATTGTTCTATTGATATTTTTCCTTTGACAACACTGTTCTGAGTTGATCATATAAAAATGACAGTAAAATGATTATTTTGTTTTATGTAAAAAAGATGTTGAAAATGGCAATAAACTCTTTTCAGTAGAGTTATCTCTTGATAAAAGCATAAATGCAACACTGATAACATATTTCAAGAAAAACCAAAAGGTCTATAAAACCATATTGCAACTCACAGGAGTGATCAGTCTGACTAATATACAGATCAAGTTTGAAAATAAGCTTGATCAGTTAAGTTTTGATAAAGATATACTTTTTTGTAAATAAGTGTTTTTTTTTAGATTTAATTCTTAGACATGTTTACAGTCTCAAAATAGAACTAATTAGATCTGTAAAAGTGTTGTTTTGACATTTACTACTTCTTAACAATATTGTTAGTTGATTTTATAAAAATGATGGTAAACTTGTTATTTTGTATTGCGTAATAAAGTGTCAAAAATGGAAATGAGCTTGTGTCTTTGCATTTCGTCAGATTCAATCATTCGCTAGGTTCAGAATGGAGGAAGTTGGACGTTTAAAATTGTTTTATCAATATTTTTCCTTTGACAACTTTTCTCAGTTGATCATATAAAAATGACAGTAAATTGATTATTTTGTTTTATGTAAAAAAGGTGTTGAAAATGGAAATTCTTTTGAGTACAGTTATCTCTAATGGCATTCTGGCATTTTCAAAGTGTGGGCTTGAACTCTCATGGGCCTGAATCCTTATGCTTGTAACAGTTCACTTTTACTGGTACTACCTGTTGTGCAATATATGAAATCTGATGTTGACTTCGCAGTTAAGCATAATGTATTATTGCATCAGCATTGACAGTATCCTTTTTTGTGCATTATTTTCTGATTTTTTCTTAAATTTTTGTCAAAGTTACATTTTTTTCATTCTAGCAGTTTGTGGTATATGGGTAAGATAGCTGGTCCCTTGGGTAATCATAAGCCAAGTTCAGAGCTATTAAGTCACTTGTCTAATTAAGTCTGAAGTGGCCTTTAAATGAGATTGCATAAAACGCACATGTTGAGGTTTAATTATCTTCAAACTCAAGTGGGATTATTCATATTATGATAACACAGCTAGATCGAATGGTAACTTTATTGGAATATTTTTGTAATTTTTCCTTTAATTTTTAATTTTTCAAACTGGCATTTTCAAGATGTGACTTCACTCCCATCCATCAGGAGCTCTGTACTGTTTCTCTGTAACATTTTCTGTATTTTTTAAACTTACAAGAATGATTCTTAGGATTGACATACAGCTCAAATTAGAAAAACAACCCTGTTGAATTATGATTTTTTTTTTTTTTTTTTGTGAACTTTTTACTTTTTCTCATTCTGGCATTTTCAATGTATGAACTTGAACTCTTATCAGCCTGAAGCCTTAGGGACCATTTCCAGACCCTATCGCGCTAACTGTGGATTGATCTATCTGCAAGGAGATTCTGCTTAAATTGCAATCAACATAAGTGGCTTAGATGTCTGTCACGCCTTCTGAAGCTGGCGTGCCAGAATCCTAAGCCACTTAAGCTGAAAGCAATTAAGTAAAAAAAACCCTTGGAGGTGGATTGATCGTGTTAGATTGATCAAGGTATGGGAACTCAGTCTAATGCTTGTTACACATTTTACTTTCATTCTAATTAACTGCTGCACAGAATTAAAAATTCGTTGTTTGCTATGCAGCTAAGAGTAATACATTATTGCATCAGAATTGACAGTATCCCTTTTTTGTGCATTTTTATTTTCTGCTTTTTGTCTGTACATTTGACAGCTTTGCTGCCTTATTGTAAGCTTAATACCTGATCTTATATATAGGTACTGATACCCTAAAACCGCTGAGGACATACAACGTACACAGTTGTAAATCAGTTATTGTGTTTTTAATTTCCTTTTTTCGTCAGAAGTAATTAGAATATTATATTGAATAATTGTACCATGGTTGCTCTCCAAAACACCATTTTTTTGTCTGGGCCGTTAAGCAGGCCCCAAACCCCACACCAAGGGGACGATGGTCAGCTTCGCATCCGAGGCCTGTCGTTCCGGACCCCTCCCCCTTCTAATATTCCGCCCCAGTTTAACGAGCACACCCTTATGCTAAATGTGTGTAAATTTATAGTCCGAAGGTTCAATAGTCCGAAGGTTCATTGGTCCGAATGTTCACTATAGAACCTTCGGACCAATGAACCCTTGATTAAAAAATCGATGAAACCACTTTTCGGACCAATGAACCTTCGGACCAATTAACCTTCGGACTGTCGAGACGCCCCCACCAAATTTGGTGACATTTGGTCAGTTGCGGATTTAGAGGAGGGATCTGCCCCTGTTTGGTGGTGTCTTTTCAGTATAATGGACATTTCTTTACCTCTGTGAAAATCATAGTGGAACATCGGATTTGAGGGTATGTAATAAATGTGAATAAATTGTATTAAATATAGATATCTTCACCGCTAGTTTGTATTTTTTTGTACTACTAATTACGTTAGTTATGGTATCTGGAATTGAAAATCACTATTTATAACAATTTCTACCTGTGATGTGATCATTTATAAATAAAAGAACACATGATACTGGAGGTGGGACAACCTTTTTGACCAACGATACATACATGTACATGTACGACATGTAGGCTATATAGGGCCTACGTGTCACGGCTAAAATTGTTATCGCTTTACTTATTTGTTGAAAAATTAAATATACACTCCATAGATATGAAACTCCACAAAATGTTTATTTTGCCATCCACAGCTTCTCATAAAACCTTACGTACACCTTAAGTAATGATGTCGATGAAGATATCCTGGTGCCGAAAGCCAATCAGTAAGTGTCTTATCTTGAATCCCATCTGCCCTCTTGCGGTAAAAATTCTTGGAAACGAATCAACAAACAAGATGGAGGAAGTTGCGTAATGTCGCACGGGACATTTTAGGAAAAGTTTTTACATATTCTGCTGAACATAGATCTACGCTTTCAGTGTCTTCTATTTGTTCAAACCTTTACCTGGCAGTAAATTTGAGCGATGAGTGTCCTACCTTCCGTGGTAAGTCAACTGTCAAATATTTAACAGGTGCTCCGGAAATGTCACCGAGAAACAAAATGGCATGCGCCTTAATATAATTTTAAACAGCAAAAAAACTCCTTTTCTGGGTTTTGCACCCCAGTTTTTAATATATATTTTAACTTATAATGCATTGTATTTAACTCAAAATAATGTTTCAGAAATTCTTTGCCGATCGGAGTCTGTAGTAGAGCGCGGGGTCTGACTAATTATAACGACCACAAAAGACCACGAACCTCCACAATTAAGCAAAGAAATGATTGGGAAACCAGTTAATATATATATATATATATATATATATATATATATATATATATATATATATATATATATATATATATATATATATATATATATATATTCGGCATAAGATATGGGGTATTTTTTCCAAATTATTTTCCATCAATTTTTTCCTTTTTTGCTGCCTGAAAAATGAAAATAAGGATTAAAATCGTGTTTTAATATCATTTAATTATCTCTTTGATGTCATTGCAACATCAGGTCATAAATTGAATTAGCCATGAAGCAAACAAAAATACGTTGCCTATTCTATGCTATACAACAACCATTCAAAGAGATATTTTGGATCTCAATATTTTCCAAATTATTGTCTGTAAAAGAGTTATATACACGCTCCACATAGGACCCTCATGTCAATGTCTAGTCACAGCAATGATCGCTGTTACGCTTGACCTCTTATGGCTGCTACCAGTACTCTCAAGCAGAAAGGCATTTCTTGAGATGGGTTTTTAGAGTTCAATCTTGAATAACATCCTAGGCATCGGTCAAAACTTGTCCAATTTGGTCCAGTTTTGTTGTAGGACATGTAGGTTGTTGATTCGGCAAGTAATGGCCTACACACATATTGTCTATGTGGTTCAAATGTGGCAATTTTGATGACCTTAGCTGCTTATTCCCTTGCTTCTGTAAGTTATCTGCTATTAAAAGTGCTTTGTGTGAATAGCCAATCTCACCATGAAACCTAGAATTGTTCCTAAGGTGCCCCCTATCAAACGATAGTCAAGTGGTTCCCAGATTATTCCTTTACTGTATTTGTTCTGGTTCAGGTTTTTGTCGATGACTACCATTGGTGTTTTGGCACCACTGTGGTATCCACTCCAAATACTGGTGCTGTCAATGACCCTAGTCACTTTAGACCCGGAACATGCTTCATCGTAGGTCTCTTCTGGATATCTGTAAATTCTGTTTTGACTAGTTGAGTGGTACAGGTGAAATCTGACCTCAATAAAAAAAGCAACACGGTTTCAGTGTTCTACCCAGAAATGATCGTGGTCCCCAATTACAGAAAAAAACAACGATGTTTTGCTGTTTACAATGGGTTCCTTGGAGTTCATCTGGTATTCTAACCTGCTAAAACCATTTTGGTGTTCGCTAAGGGCAAAAATTGAAATATACGTTTTGGTGGCAATTTACCCCTCCTTCTGAACGGACTGGATGGTTTTTGTTTAGTTGCAGCTCCATATCCAGAAATACAGTGGGTCCTGTACCCTGGTGGTGAGATTTCGATACATTGAGTGTGGCCTCTGTGTAGGTACATCAATATGGGCATTACTCTATAAAACTGTGCAGACTGTTCCATTTGGCGCAATAATCTGTCTGGCAATGTCTTTTTTCACACCATTCTGCCACAGATTTACAATTTTTAAAAAACACTGCTTAGATCATTTAACGCACTGCAAAACCAATGCTTGCTTGCAAAATTTCAAATTCTTTGATGCAGTAGTTGCCGACATGTGGATACCTTTTTGACAGAACTATGCTTTGCCAAAGCCAAGCTTTGACCAGCCCAAAAGAACACTACCCAATTAAGTCACTTGCATATTACATAATACAGCAGCGCAACAGACATGGTAGTCAGTTAATTGGTAGCGACACACCTACACACTTCTCCATTCACATATCTTGTATGAGATCAGAGTTTTTGGGGAAAAAATGCATTTTTACCTAGGCAAACCTTCAAAACTGAAATATCCCATATTAAATTTCAAGTCTGTAGCACACTAATATGTAAGCCTACTAAACGATAACAGAAAGAATGTGGTTGTGTCCACAAGCATTGATGACGAGCCACCACAAGCACAAATAGTTGAAAGTAGCCAGCAGATTTTGAGCCCTCGTGGTTTTCAAAATAGGTCTGTAATTGTACGAATGTTATTGCTATAACTATAACCTTTATCTGTTATATAACGATCCCATTATTGGCGAACATGTTAAATATTGTTTTTTGTTCTTCGCTCTGCCACCAGGGGAGCATACATGCTTCCACATTATAGGAGCGTGCACATCAAAGACATGCTAGATCGGGTCCACATTTAAGATATTTTTGTCGACTTTATTCTGTTTGTTTCTCAAGTCATTCAGTCACTGTGCAATTCTGTGTCTGTTTGGTATTAAGTAACACCTCTGGTGCTCTACTTCTTCTTAAGTCATCACATACACAGTTTTAAGAAAAAAAAAACACGGAAAATTGAAGACTGTACATGTACAAGTTTGAGGACATTCTGTAGGACGTAGCTTATTTGGCAAATGGATTAATGTATCTTTAAACAGTACAGTGATTAAATTTAATTAGATTACCATATAATATATATTGATAAGGCCTTTCCCTGTACGTGTAGCATTAAAGACCAAAAATTAACTGAGGAAAAAAGTGTAGAAGTATGAAAGATGTCTTCAGCAGAGAGTTTCTGATATGATCTCATGTTAGCAGCTGTAAACTTGCCATTAATAATAATAATAATAATAATAATAATAATAATAATAATAATAATAATATAGGTGTGATTTGTTGCCATTGATTGTATATTTTTCTAGGAGTATGACCCGACCCAGGGACATGTCAATGAGGTAAGTTAGACTGCAGTGAGGAGTTTGTCTTACACTGTCCTACTAGAATGAAAGCTGTCTCATAACAGATATTTTCTGCTTTCTTTCTGTGCTATGCATAACATTCAGTTGTTGTTCGCCAACTCTCATTTGAATAGTTATGCTATTTCCCATGCAACAGTAATGCCTCATACATAACTACTCCATTTGGCAGACTTCAGTGGAGTAGAGAGAATGAAAAATAGCTTAAATTTACTTCCAGAAATTTGAATAAGGCACAATTTTGTAGTTTTTTGGCTGACTGAGTATTTAATATGGTTTTATGGTATTAATACTTATGTTATTAATACTTAAATTTTATGGTTTTAATACTGAAAAATATGTTAAGTTTTATTGAGCAAAATGGCAGAAAATAAAATTTGTTTGTGTGAAAACTCCTATGTAAAGCAATGTTTTGCAACATGTTTGTTGTGGATAAAGAAAGCATCATATCAAAAGTAATTGTGTTGACATGTTTTCATGTTACATAAACTTCTCTATTTGCAGGCATTTGAGAATATGGAAAGCAGAAAAGTGAGTAACAACAAACACATGCTGTAATCTGATAGGGTGGACTTTCTCAGTTCACTGTTATCTAACCTTTTGAGTCCAGTATGAATTAGAAAAAAAGTAATATAATTTTATCTGTTAATTAGATATAGTTTTTTTTAACAGAATGTTACTGGATGAGCACCTCTGTGATAAGTACTAACAGTCCAAGCCCCTCTAGGTGTGGCAATGGTGTTATCATAGTAATAAATGTCTTCAAAGTTCTCTTGATCCCCTGTGTTCCAGGATACACCTCCTCCAGCCTATACTGATGTGGTGGTGTGTGCAACCCCAGCAGTGTACAATCCTCCTGCCCCTTCACAGCCAGCACCAGGTAATGGAAACAAGCTTACAGCATTTTCCCAAATAATTTTTTTTTCCACTTACCTTAATTCACTTATTATGATCTCAGCTTTTGAATTAGCTCATGTTTCTGTTTTCAACATTTTGTTTTTTCAACATATAATAGTGAATGTTAATTACTTGCAGTTAATTGTATTATTATAATATATCTTTAGATACTAAATTAATGATGATGATCATGATTATTAGTATGATAATAATTATATTACAAAACAAGGTTATGATTTGGGGTTATGACTTGATCTTTTGAATGTGGAAAATTAGCAATCTTTTAGTTTCCTAATTTTGGAACCATTTAAATTATACTCTGTGTATCATTTTGGTGCTTTTATTGTGTCTAATAGAACAATAGGGTAGGCTGCTTTTGTTTCTACTGCTCTATAGGAATATTTTAATTTAAGAAGTTATTACTTTAAAAAATGCAATATCTAGAAAAAATGTAGAATTTGCATAATTGAGAACATCTAGTCATTACTGTATTCTTTGTAAAAAAAATGCCAAATCTCAGTGCTTGTGAGGAACCCCCTTAAGACCACCCCGGGGCCCCACATTACATAAAGTGACCCTTTATATAAGATAACCCAAGGGTTTGGGGCACAATGGGCTCACATTTTTGGATAACGCTATCTGTAATATTGCTACGGAGATTCCCAGGTTCCTTGTCTTAAATTCTGCACACAGAAAGGAATGAAACGACTCCATGTTGTAACTTCAACAGAATATATTTTGCTACACTAAAAGTTACATGATGCAAGTATGACCTCTCTCCTCCTCTCTCTAGCTTTCCCTCTAGATTTAAGTTTACAGATTTTTATACAAAACTTAAGGCCGGTGATAGGGTTAAATACGCTTAAAATCGTGTTTTTGAGTTTTTTGTGTGTTTATATTAATCAAAAAAGTATCTAACGTTGGATGTAATAATTTTTATGAATTTGCATCGCAAAATGCGTCTTTTGATGAGTTTTTCAACCGGCACGCGCCCCAGTCAGGCTGACAACTAAGCCACGCCTCTGTTACTAAGGGCC